TTTTTCTTCAGATTTGATTCATCAATTAGATCTTTAGTATAAACAAGTCGTGATGTCATCTTTGTGGAGCTTAAGATGGTTGTGGGTATATTTTTTAATTGGTCAATTTGTTATATCAAATGTGAGAACGGCTTGGCCTGCATCTAATTCCACCAACATACAATTATTGGGCATTTTTGGCAATGAATTGAACATGAACGATTCCAGTCCAGGAACTCTTTGGTCTCGTGCGATGTTTAACGCAGCAATATTGCTTTCTCAGCAATATAATATAACAATTGATGGACAATTTATTGGTTCACAGCTAGTAGCAAGTGGTGGCATAACAATGAACGCTCTTAGCAGCTCATGTCTACTAATATCAACTTCAAACATTGTTGGTATTGTGGGACCAACATTCTCTCGAGAAACTCAAGTTATTGCACCTTTTGCTGCACAACTTTCCATTCCTGTGGTATCCTACTCTGCAACAGATCCTGGTCTATCTGATCGGGGAGCTTATCCTACTTTTTATCGTACAGTTCCATCAGATAATACAGCTGCATTAACAATTGCTCAACTTTTTATGAAATTTAATTGGACATCATCTATAATTATCTATCAAAATGATGCATATGGATCTGATGGAGCAAAAGTAATAACTAATGCATTCAATAATAATAATCTGACAATTACACAAATGATAATGTTTGATACTGTGACACGTACTATTCGAGGTGATCTAAAAAGTCTCTTACTTAGTAGTCCAATTCGAAATGTTATATTATGGGCCGAGACAGATTATACATCTTTAATTTTACAACAGGCAATAGATTGTGATGTACTTGGACCACAGTTTACATGGATATTAGGTTCAACTGTTCAGTTAAATTCGTTTAGTCAAGCAGATAATGCAAAGTTAATTGGAATATTGACTATAGAGCCTGTAGTTGCAAGTGCTGTTAATGAACCAATAAATACAACATTATTAAATGCAGCATATGATGTATGGCAACAATATGAATCTGAGACATTTCCTGGAGCAGAAAATGTGAATGCCTATGCATTATTTACATTTGATGCAACTTGGTTATTGATCCGATCATTAGAGCAACTTTGTTCAATCACGAATAATCATTCTTCTCCATGTCTATCAATTGTAAATGATTCATTTTGTTTTAATCGACGTTTACTTGATTCCAGTTCACTATTTGATATAATTAATACTGATACATTTCTTGGTGTATCTGGAGTTGTACAATTTAGTGCTAATTCAACGGATCGATTTAGTGGTGTTTATTATATTGTAAAAAATATTCAGAGTTTATCAAATGAGTTAAACTATGTTCCAGTATTAGTATGGTCTAGTTCAGATGCTTGGACGCCACATTCACAACAAAATATGATTATATGGCCTGGACAGTCATTAGTACCTCCCACAGGTTATGCAACAATTGCAGGTGTAACCTTACGAATTGCTGTAATTGAAGCGCCTCCGTTTACAATGACCCAACAAGTAGCAGATGCAAATGGAATAATAACAACAAAATTAATTGGATATATACCTGATCTTCTTGCTATTTTACAAACAAATATGGGATTCATTCCAAACATTACATTGTTACCATCAACTCAAAGCTACGATGGACTCATAGACGATGTGGCAAATAATGTTTATGATATGGTAGCAGGTGATGTGACAATTCTTGCTGAACGAAGAGAACAAGTTTCTTTTACTGATTCAATCTACGACAACTCATTACGAATCATTCTTCGAAATACAGCCTCGGCTAGTCCAGATTTCTGGTTTTATTTAAGACCATTTTCATTGGGAGTTCGCTTATGTATCTTAGGTTCTATTATCTTTGCTGCTCTATTAATGTATTTATACGAAGGAGGACATAATGACGCATTAAAGCATAAACCAACCATTTCTCGACTTGTAATGAGTACATGGTATCCTCTTGGTAATATCATGGGATATGGTGTGGATTTTACTGTGAAAACAGGTGCTGGTCGATTCTTAACTTTTAGTGTATTCTTTTTGAGTCTTGTCTTAATAGCAACATATCAGGCAACTTTAACATCTAATTTAACTCTTAGACAAACGCAAAACATTATTTCGGGAATAGATGATATTAAAAATGGAAAAATACCATATGGTCGCATTGGTATCGTTACTAATTCATCCATTGAAGCTTATTATTTACAAGAAATCTCTAATGGTATTCGAAATTTTTATCCATTAAGAACAGAAGAAGCAATATTTACTAGTCTCCTGTCTAAAGTGATTGATGCAGCCATTATGGATGAAGGTGTTTTAGAATATGAAACGAGTAGTAATTATTGTAACTTAACTTTAGTTGGCACAGGTTTTGATCCCAGTGCATTTGGTATTGTTTTCCAGAAAAATTGGGTATATGAACAAGTTTTAGATGTGAACATATTATCATTAAGAGAATCAGGAACAATTAATAATTTGAAAAGCAAATGGTTTCAATCAAATACTTGTTCTCAGTCTTCAAACACACCTACTGGCTCGTCCATTGAAGTAATGGGTGGTTTATTTGTGACATTTGCAGTCATGTGTGGTCTGTCAATAATACTCTTCATATGGTTAAAACTGCGTATAAGACATCGTCTATCACAAATGGTCCTAAATCTTCGTTATCGAATATGCCCATCGGCTAGTACACCTCCTGATACTCCACTCAACGTACAAAATCCTTTCGATATTAGAGATGTATGAGCACAACGCCGCTTTTATCTTCTAAAAAAACTGTTCAATTGTAGTTTTATTTAATATACAATTATTTAGTGAATTTGTGTAATGATAGAATTCTTTTCTTACATGTTTCATTGTCTAGTTTTATTGATAATTGATTTCAATATATATGTACATACATGTTCTTTTGTCTTTTCTTCTTCTTTTTTTTATATGATTATAATTATTATTCAAGAATAAACCGAACTCACATTAACAGTTTTAGTATATAGTATTATGATTGTTATGATTGATAGAAAAATGAAAGTGATGAAAATTATCATATCTCATAGAATAGGTTTGCTATTTTTTTCAATAGAAACGAGTCCTGTTTGTTTCCTTACTGAAGGTAAAAATATTCATAATTTTGCCTCATCAGTTTCAATAAAAGAATAGTAGAATGAAAAAATAAATAATCGGGATAGAAAAAGAAATAAATGATTATGATGAAATGTTGAAATTTGTCAGTACATATGAATAGTAATTTAAATGATGTTTATGAAATATTGTTGACAAAGAATAATCATTAATAAAATTTGTTGATGGATTTACTTTTAATTGGCTATATGAAAGAAAAAAACAAATGTTCTTTAAACTAATTGCGAATTGCTTAACTATAATCAGCTATTTAAATAAATGAAATGGTTTCTTAAACAGCATTTGAAAACTGTTCAAAGTGTTGTTCTAATGATTCTATATGATTTATTTGAATACCATTTGATATTTGAAGAAGATTTATCAATTGTCCTACACGAAGTTCACTCATATTTAATTGTTTCATCGTATTTGATAATGAATTAGAGATAAGTTTGTGTTTCATATCAATTTAATTTTTATATTTATCTTACTTTTGATCGTTTTTTTCCCTGTAAATTCTTTATCATTTGTTGATAAGCTGATGTATTTAATACTGTTCCACGCAAATCATTTATTTGATTACTAAACATAAAAGACGAATTGTTGATGAATAATGCTAAATTTTATGTTCTGAATAAATTTTTCATTAGAACAATCTGACGAAAATAAATTCATCAGAGATAAAAAAAAGACTATTAAGAAATTAACATTTGGTGTTATTTTCTGTTTAAAGAAAAAAATATCCTTTATTCGTATGATTCCGACCATAATTGTATTATTTTTAATTATTTAAAATCATTTTAACAGCAGAAAAAAAACAGGAACGGAATGAGGGTGTGCTCATGAATAGCATATAACCACACTCGTATCCTCATTATATCATTATTATAAATGGATGCACTAGAGCTAGAAAATGAATATTAATAGAACGATGGACTTTGAACATGCTAATGTAGTTTTTTTTTAATTATTCGAGGAATGTATCTCTTTTTGTTTGTTAGCCATTCCTTCAGCAAATCCTGCATGTTTTTCCATATTCTTTTGCCGTGATTACTGATTTGAATTATTTACATTATATACAATTCAGTTACTGATTCTTTATTAGCGCTATAAAGAAAAAAACAATTGTCATGCGTCCATATATTTTGTCTGTTTCTGCTGTCGAGGATATCAAAAAACAATGATAATATCTGGGTGCGGATGGCGAAATAGTTTCGAACATCGAAAGCCGCATCCCATCCCTATGCCTTATCCATACCTTTTGAAAAAGTTCGCTTTCCAATATATCAAAAGCTTTGATTAACTCGTATAGAATACATCCAATACAAAATGAAAGTTTTTCATAACATGAATCGCGTTACATAACTTCAATCAGAGATCGAATAAAAACTAAAACGGAAAAAAATTGTCATGAGATGATTACGATCAGGAGCAAATAAGAATTCGACACAATATCAGATAGCTTTAAACCAATGTATATATAACTACATTAATCCATACTCTAATGTGTTTGCAGCTATTTTCATTCTCTTTTGTTCCGTTTCAAGAAAATATTTCGAGAGACTGAAGTAGGTGTAAACAAATGCGAACAGTACCGGTAGCTCTTCATCGTAGCTAATGTCGTGATTCTAATGGTTTAACAATCGTGCAAACCAATCTGACTCTTCACCTTTGTTCACGTTCTTTTTTCTGGTTTAATTACTTCAGTCAGGATACACAAATAGTAGAAACTGACTTGATTTTTATAACATTTATTGATTAAATATGAAGTAATGAAACAAAAAGCAATATTGATTATATATGAAGTGATAAGACAAGAAGCAACATCGACTAAATATGAAGTGATGACACGAGAAGCAATACAACAAAGGTTCTGTTTTTAAAAGTCTTGGTTTAGTGTTTATTCAATATAGATGGTCGGTTGAAAGGGAACTACTCGTGCTGATGTTAAACGAGGAGCGATTTGCATCCATCCCATAATCTTTCGGTACATACGCCACCCATACCAGACAATAAAACGAAGAATCACTACCAAACCACCATACAGTCCAAGTATTGTTGTGGTTATGTAGAGTATTGTGTTATGATCAATATATTTGTATGAACACGAATATGGAGCACACGAAGCGAAGTAGCTTGAATAATTACTTGCAATTCCCCAATCTTCCACGAATAAATTATCAACGATGCTGCCTATGAGAGTATTTGAAGAATAATTACTAGGTGTTGACGCATTGAGCGGTTTAGGAATCCAAATAGTAGTACTGCGTGTCGATGCGATGCTTGTCAAGTTAAGAATACAGTTTGAATCAAAGAAACATTCTAGAGTAGACAAACGAATACCATCAATTGGCAAGCAACCCGCCACCACACCAGGTAATACTATTGTGTTAGAATTGGCATCAATATATAAAGGTCGTGAGAAGCTGTTTAGTGATGTAGTACACGAATAATTAGTTCCAAATGAAATACGTGGCACAGTGGCAATGACGTAATTATCCGCCGCAGTTGTGTATGCTATTTGCCAATTTGTTTCAGATACAACCATCATCTGATTTGCACGCAATGTTTCATAAATATATAACTGAGTACGACGAAATTTATCTGGTGTTTGAGCAGTAAATGTGGCTGTAAGCGAATCAATTTGAGCTTCAAATGAACTGAATGTCATTGCTTCTAGAGTGACTAGTTTGTCGGTAAGAAATGCACTTGTATCATTGTCGATAGATTGCTGTGCTAATGAACAAAATGATGCAAGAACACGAAACTGAATGCTAAGAAGTTGAAGGTCGAGAAAAGTGGTCACAGTATCCATTCCCCAGAGAAAGCCCCACCATTGTTGTGCAACGAAATCGCTGGAGCATACCTGGTGCAAACGAGGTGAAATTGAGAGAAATACGTCGTATTGAATAGAGGCTTGTGAACATAAACATGACAGACTTGACTTTTGTTGATCTTGCAAGTACGAAAATGTTGTTTGAGATGGTGATAAAACTGTGATAGTGCGCGTTTGTTGACTAAAACTTGTAAAGAAAATGATAATACCAAAAGCTAGAGACAACAAAATGATGTAGAGTCGACTAGGTTTTTTTGTATCGATATCATGGTTCACTGGTACATTATCTTTGAAAACATCTATGTTCAACAGTGTATCTCGTGCATGAACTAATAGTAAGCACTGCCGGTTGTTGCTCTCGGTTGTTTCTGAATCTAAAATGATCAAAGAAGTTGATTATTAACCTAAACAGTATTGCTTTACAAACTACAATAACTTTGTTTATGGAAGAAGGTAATACTCGCACGAATTCCTTTTTTTTACCTGTGTGATTATCCGAGATTCTTATTGCACGCAAATGTGAAAGCTTAGGCTAGATGATTAATGTGCTGTACTGCTTTCTGACTAGACTGAAACGTTAGCTATATATCACGTTGTTTCTAAGAATCACAATTATGAACTGATTGTTCTAAGATTGTGAAAGTGTTGTCAAGCTAAAACAGCTTTTCCCCTATATTGACTTTTTCTGAACATCTAGTAGTAGTCAAGTGAGTTACTAATGTTAGCCATTGATTATATCGAAACTCAAAACAACTGATCTTAATCACTACACTATATAATAAAAAAAGGCCTAGTTCATATCCTCTTATTCGGCACGAATTGCGACTTCCATGACAGTCCTACATTTTCTGTCATCTGCTATTTCAAGACGGAAGATCTTCTGTCGTAAAAACGAAGAAATACTTGTATCTGTTCAACAATCGCAGAGATAGCTTATTTCCAGAGAAATAGATTTGCATTCGCTACACTCATATAGATCAACATCAAAGATCGGTAACAATCGAAGTTGGAAGCTACTATAATTCTATAAATAACAGGATGACAATAATCGTCCTTACACTAAAAATAAGAGTCTAGAAAAAACATCTGTTTAATTTCTGATACAATGAGATACAGAGTGAAGTATATAGATAATAGATACATGAACTTACCGATTCTATTGACGCCCTTACAACGATGAAAAATACCCACAAGCAGTTTTACACACGGTGGTAGAATCAGCTTTAGTGCAACACTGAGCCCACCCAATAAACCGATGAGAACTGTAATGGCAGCAACAAGAGCATATCGTTGATCATATGTGTATGTGCAACTATCAGGTTTGCAGATTGTATAGTAGGTGCTGTAATCACTGGATGATGTCCAGTTTTCGATAAACATATTCAATACCAGTGGTTCAAATGTGGAATTGAGTAAAAATCGACTGGGTAAATCGGGGTCGAGTGCAGTAGTGTTGGCTCCACGTGGATCAATCGGCAGCGCCTTGACAGTGACATCGAATAAACGCCAATCGAGCAGAAATTGAATACATGATTGGTTGAAGAGACAGGTAAGTGTTGAGAGTAATAACGAGTCTATAGATGTACAGCCCAAAAACATACCTGAAATAGTGAAGTTTGGTTGTGATTTGATAGTATGGCATGAACTTGCACGGCAATAGAACCCTTGTGGCCGAGTACAGTTGTTGGACATGGCACATGAGCAGACAGGTCCCGAAGGATACACGTTTCGCAGACGCAATCGAACATTCGCATGATCGGACGTGGCGATTGGAGTAGCTGCAGGGCTTGAGGGATTGTAGAATTGATTATCTCGAATTGCCGTGCTTACTTGAGAGAACAAAATCAGAAAAGAAGCTTGTGTTTCTTGTTGAAATTGTAGTGCTAGTTCGGCCGTCTTCTTTTCGAATAATAGATGTGACATCGGATATACGTTTACTAGTTTTGTAGAGCCGAAAACAGTTGCGGCATTGACAACAGTTGTTTTGGCTGTTTCACATAGTGTTTGCATTAGATAAAATAGATTAGAACCAGCACCTCCACGAAAATCACCAACATATAAACTGAGATCGGTTGAATTGTTCGTTATATTCAATGATGGTACTAATGGAAAATAGAGTAACCAGCGATCATTTTGGACAAAATCGCTGGAGCAGAGCTGATGAAAATGAGGCGTAATAGTCATTATCTCACTATAGGTCACAGAAATGCCAGTGCAAGGACATACGAGTGTCGATGAATATTGAGAGTACAGTTTTTCGAAGGTGTCCAAAGACGGCTGTTGTATGGTAACACTTATCGTGGCCACACTCAACATTGAATAACTGAAGAGAATGAGTGCACCCATAAATGTTAGAGAAATATAGAGACGCGTTGTTTGAACTCCCAGATTCACGGTAGAAAACGAAGTTTCAAACATGTTAAATGTGCTGATTAATGGACGAATTTGACGCACGAGGCTCAGAAGGCGTCCTCCGAGGCTTGGCGCTGAAACAATTCAAACAATTATCATTTGTTGTCATTTATAAAAAAAATTCAATATCTGAACAAAGAATAGTTCGTCTTTCAAACAATTCGATACTCTCACGATTTCTTGTTAAAAAATACAGTAAATCAAACAAATTCTCAGTATCATTACATAAACATGAAATAAATCAGCAAAAGTAAAAAAAAGCCGCCTACCTTCAGGATTATTGTCTATTGTAGGAATTGCTTCACCTCGGCATTTAACTAGTAAACGACGAAATAACTGTACGAGGAGAGGAACGACAATACTGAGTATTGTTGTGAGACCTCCGATAAGACTAAGCAGCATTGTCATTGCATAAAGTAGATTACCACGTTGTGTATAGGTGTAAGAGCATTCTTTTGGATCGCATGTATTGTAGTAACTGGTGAAATTACTCGAATTGCCCCATGTTTCGACGAAGAGTTGTTCGAACATAGTATTTACGGTTGTATCGACTCCAAAGCGAGATGAAGCAGTCGCATTTAGTGGAATGATTGCTTGTGAGATACCAATAAGATCCAAACATGAACGATTGTAGAAACACTCCAGTGTCGACTGAAGCATTGAATTATGAGGTAGGCATCCAACCAACATACCTGGCACGATAAACATAGGTGGTGGTGAGGGCACATATAAGGTGGACTGTCCCTGCGGAGTACGAAGGGAATGGTTGTAATAACCAGCTGGAAAAGTACAGTTTGATGTGACCGAACAATCGCATAAGGTATTTGTCGGATTCGAGACGTTGCTGATAGTATAATTTCCAACTAAATATCTTCCGAGTTTAACGCTGGTACTCGATGATAATGGATTCTGGATAAGGTAATTATTGGTATTCAAAGCTGACATTATTTGACTTCTGCTAATAATCAGGGACACCAACTGATCAATGTATTTTACATTCGCTACTATTGAGGTTTGCATTTGTTCGACAAGTGCTATAACCTGAGCCTCAAATACTTTACGTGATACAGCTTGATTCGTAACGAGTTGTTGTGCCAGAAATTGATTGAGATCACTACTAATAGTCGATGCCGCTGTTTCGCATAACAATGCCAAGATCTGAAACTGAGACATACCCATCAGACGAAAATCTAACGGAAAAAATCTAGATATATTTATGTTGAATAGTGCTGAAATAAATTGTTGAGAGATAAATTGACTTGAACACACTTGATGATAATGTGGATCAAATAACATAAATTCATCATAGCGAATATTGTTTTGTGAACAAGGACAAACGAGAGTATTCGGATACTCATCGCTCAGATGTTCGAATTGATTGACCGAAGGTGATGTAACACTTACGACGTGTGTTTGCATGTTCAACGTAGCAAACAAAGTGACAATGGCAACTGAGATATTCAGAAGAATAATGAACAATCGAGTTGCTAACAACTGATCATCAACTGTCAAAGAGTCATCAGTTTCGTACAAGTTAAGCTTTCCCAACCATACATAGAAACGCTTCCAAATCATCATCGCAACACTTCACACTGGAACTGTTTACAAGAAAATACTCCTTTTACATAGATCCTTACGACAATACTGACTATGAGCACTTCAGTTCTGAACAACTGTAAGGCGTGCTATTATTTATTGTAAGAGAAAATATAGTATAAGAGAGAGATAGATTCAAAAACGAAGTAAATATTGAATCGTATCTTCCAGCTGCCTTTGAAAATAAGCTGAACGTTTTCCTCGTGTTGTTTAAATGACTTCTGCAAAGTCAGTGAATATTAGAATATCATATTTCACTTATAAAAAGTCCGTGAATAGTACATCGTATATATGACTTCTAGAAAGTCAGGGATTATTATAATGATCTAATTGAGAAAAGTCATACATGTGATTTGTGGAAAAATATATAATAAAATCAGCAATTTGTTTTAGTGGTGATCTAATAAATAGTGTTAAACAATAAACTCTTCTCAACAGTTATTTACATCATTTCACACTATATTCATATATGCAAAGAAACAGCAGAAGATTATTTTTTAGTTTATGTCGTTTGTAATTTTCAATCGATTTTCGAATGATATAGTTTCAATAGACTGTGTATTCACGTATATGTAGCTTGATTTACATAAGGAAATATAAATTGATGTCGTTTCTTGTGGTGTGTCGTAATTTATTTTAACTTAGTACTAAATCTATTAATGTTGATACAAGAAGTCGAAAAACATTATCAACAATTAGAGTTTTCAGAAGAAAGACAAGAAAATCTCTTTTAAAATTATTTTAATTACAATTGAATCAAAGAAAGAAAAAACGAATGAAACTACTAGTTTTCACGTTTTTTACTCGTAATTATAATTCGAGATGATGTAAATGATTTTGACATGAATTTATCTTTGATTACTATTGATAAAACAGCAAAATCTTGATTTTATATCCATGTTCCAGCAATACGGACGCATAACTCTTCTCGGCTAGATCATATATTATTCACTGACTTTCAAAACTCATTTGAACAATATCATAGAAATACTCCAGGCATTTTCAAAGACAGTTGTTAGATACGATTCAATTTTTTTACTGATCTTTTAGTGTTTATTTTTTATATCATGCTTTTTCTTACAATAAATGGAAGCACGCCTTGCAGCTGTTCCGAAGAAAAACGTTCAAAGTCAGTATTCTAGTGTTCTATCAACAAGATGTCATTGAAGTTCTGAAATAAATCCATTATTTATGATTCCATCATTCAGCGAAAATAAATTTTTTAAAACTAATACAGATCATTGTATATATTCAATACGATTTTACCGAAAAGCCAGAAATCTATGTCTTCCACTATGAATAAGACATTACAACTTTCACATGCGGGTTTTTAATTTTCTCTAGTTATCTTAACTATTATTCTGAAAAAAATAAAAAAGAAACACATAACAACTTATCAGTACTCCTGCATCTGATTGCTACCACGATCAGCTATTAGCTTCGATCCTTCTTGAAATAATATTTTATTTTTAATAACAACGTCAAAGACCTTATAGAAAATATCTATAGAATATTTTAATTCATATTTTATGTAGAGTATCGGATCATATATGACTTATATTTCATTTTTCTTCAACAGTTGATTAAGTTTAGTTCACTAGTTTTTCTCATCCCTAATGTATTGATTCGGTACACTACTCTTACGTGATATTATTCTCACACAATGTCATACACATTGATCAATATTGAGAATATGAGAGATGTGTTTTACATGAGAAATTCTTATATTTATATTATGCATATGCATTTCCTTCTTCTTTTTTTTCTTTGTTTTCTTTCTTTGCTTTCCCTCTCCTCCATGTTGTTTTATATAATATTGTGCTGTGTGTAACATGATGGAAAGTGTTAGAGTAATTGCAAAGATGAATGAGAGATAAACACATAATCCATATTCTCAAGATGCTTCACACACCACATATTTCCTAGGAATTGTCATTTTCATCATGTTCAAAAAAGGATATTTCCAAAATTCATCAATTATTCATAAGCACTACTCAAGTTTATATAAAACAATTTTACAAAAACTAATAAGTTAAAGTTCAAAATTGTATTATGAGTTAAATATATTTGAGATAAATCTAATTTTATCATTAATATCAAAATAAATAGTTTTTCGTTGTGCTTATTCAAAAATAATCAAAATAATTATCTGCGATCAATTGAATAGATTTCATCTACGTTCGAAAGTCGATAAATATCGAATGATTTATTAAATCTAATATTAAAAATTGTTCACATATAAAATAATGGATCTAGGACAATTTTTTCAAAAAAAGTGAAATATTCATTTTATTTTCATTCTACTACCTCATCATTTTCGAAATATCTCAATATGTTCACTAAATAAATTGTCTCTAGTGCATTGAACTGACTTATAATATGTAGCGCATAGAAGTTAGAAGACATTTGATACGAACATTTTCTATATTAAGAAAAGGCCCGACAAAGATCAAATGAAGATAAATGATTAAATATAATAAACAGAAGTTCATTGGGTAATAATTCGAGTGTACTTCTGTTCATTGTAAAATATTGTTGAATTTTTTCTGTATATGTATTACCTTTTAATACATTTACGTTCGATATGTTTGTTGAAGTATTCAACGAACGATGTTGAAAAAGACTCACTTGGTTGACTCTCATAAGAAAAATTGTCTATTTTAATATATACATATTCATTTTTTGTTAACATAGCACACTATTTGAGTGTTCATGCATTTTTGTGAGAAAACCGTTGAGTATCAGATATCATTTACCTTTGTATACATGTTTTATTTATAAATGCTATACTATAATAGCTATTCAGTGTAGATTTGTCACATCTACTGATTTCATTCAGTAATCAACAGTAAGATGTATTTGAAGAAAACAACTTGAGTCTATCATTCTTTATTGTAGATATTAATCAGATAAACACATATATTGAATTGAACTTGATCAATAGTAAAAGTTCTCTACTAAATCTATGTTTTATCAAGGTTCTTGATGAAGTTTTTACATTATTAATTAATAAGCATTTTTACGCAGTATGATAGCTATACTCACTCTACAAAGATAATGCAAAAGTTAGCATAGAGTATCAGAGTTCTTTTGTATGACAGAATATCTCGAATATATCATGAATTGTTGATTAACTCAGCGACTTATCGCTTATAGTATTCTATTTTAAATTGAACTATTCTTCTATAGTTACAAGACGAACATTTTAGACAATACACATATTTGAGAGAGAAAACATCATGAATTTAAAAAAAACAACACAATAATCTACCATTTAATAAAATGTAATTCAAGAAACTTAAATAAAGAAAAAATAATTGCTGTAAAACTAAATTCACATACAAATTCTAGATATTAACGATGTTTATCACTATTTACTGCAATAACTTTACGAATTGGTTTTTGATATGCATTCATATTTTAATATGAAAATTCTGTACGTGTCAACTTTTATTGAAAGGGAATAGTATAATCGATATAGATGTCACTGTTATTCAATTTCCTTCTAAAATATAACAATTCTTCAACATATCATTTGATACAATTGTAGAAAATATTAGTTGTACTAAGTTATTTTCATCATACATGTTTAAGATAGTTTCGCAATTAATAATCAGAATTTATTGGTTCTTGCATCATCGAACGAAAGATTATGAGTCATATATATAACATTTTTCCTGAAGTCCAAATTTTTGAATTTTATTATTTTGGAACTACTTTCATTTTTCATATTTTGTAGAACAATGCAAAATCTATGTTTATTCAATACACGAACAGTATCATTAGGTAATTTAACTGGTGCTAATCTTGTTCGACGTTTTGCTATTGATATTGATAAACAAATTATTTATCTATTAACTTCACATTCGATATATTCATTAACATTAGACGATGATAAATTAAAATCTATTTATACATCACCTGATAAAACAACAACAATTGAAGATCTTTGTTATCTTTCTGAAATAAATCATTTATCATTAGGTTTATCAAATGGTGATTTACTTTCATTACAATTCGAAGATGATTTAGAAGAAAATATTAATACTATTGGTACATTAGAAGAATGTATACATGAATTAAAATTAAGTCCGGATCAACAAATACTTATTGCAGTAACAAATACAAAAGTACTTTTACTTTCAACAAATAATGATTATGAACCTATTGCTGAAACATTACTCGATACAAATGAATTTGGTGAACAACAATTAGTTAATGTTGGTTGGGGTTCGAAAACAACTCAATTTCATGGTTCAGTTGGAAAAAAAGCAGCTCTTGAATCAACAGTAACAGTACCAACACAAGTACGATCCAGTGATGATGATGGTCGTAGTCATATTGTTTGGCGTGATGATGGTGATTTATTTTCTATATCATTTATTTCCTTAACCAATCAATGGCGTACAATAAAAATCTTCAATAAACAAGGTCAATTACAATCAACAAATGAATCACCATTGAATGGTTGTATTGAATCAGCTATAGCATGGAAAATAAGTGGTGAATTAATTGGTGCAGCAATGAGATTTAATAATGGACAAAAATTAACAATAAGTTTCTTAGAAAAAAATGGTCTTAAACATGGAGAATTAGTCTTAAATACAACAGGATATGTTGAACATTTAGCATGGAATAAAGATTCAACAATTCTTGCAATTGTTGTTCGTCAACAGGTATAAACAAAAAAAAATAATTTGTTTTTTAAGACAGTTGAATTATAATATTAAATTTTAGAATGATTCTTCTCTTCAATTATGGTCATCAAGTAATTATCATTGGTATTTAAAACAATCATTTCCATTTCCATCAGTAAATATTCAAGCAATTCAGTGGGATATTGACATTGCTAATAAACTTCATTTTATTACTAATAATGGACAATATCGATCAATGACTTGGTCATGGACAAGTCAAGTTAGTTATACAAATACTCGTTCACTTGTTTTTCTTCTTGATGGATGTCATCTATTTGTTTCGGATTTTACTCATTCATCAATTCCACCACCAATATCATCCTATGAAATTCTTTGTCCATTATCTATACTTGCTATTGCTTCTGATGATGATCATGATAAACTAATTCTTATTCTTTCTGATCGTTCACTTGCAATATGTGGTAAATCATCAAGTCTAACTGATTATCGTACAATAATTCATTTATCGGAAATAAAATCTGCTCATTATGTTACATCATTAATATCTTCATCGGACTCACCAATTAAAAATATTCATAATGCAACACATTTTCGTCTTATTAATCAACAATTCTTTTTTATTGAAGAATCTCATTTACATATTTATAATCTTGAAACTAAAACTAAAACAAGTTTACTATTGAATTTTCAATGTTTAACAACTGCAATTGATAATGAAGAAACTAAACATTTATATTTACAAGATGAACATGGAAAAATCTTTCGTGTTGATAATAATGAATTACATGCTAGAATGCATTTTCCACGACCATGTTCACATTTTTCTGTTGTTTTAAATGAACAATTTGTTGGTTTAACAGAAAATTATCGTTTATATTTAAATACCAGTGAACTTGCACACAATTGTAATTCATATTTTATTCATGATAAAACAATACTTGTTTATTCAACATTACAACATCAATTAGCTTTTCGATCATTGATCAATAATCAACAAACTGCAGAAATTAGCTATCGAAGAACTGGTAAATAATAAGAAATGTAGAGAAAGTTATGCATCAGACGCGAATTTTTGAATA